GAGCTGGAAGCTGAGAACTGGCGACTTTCTAGTACAACTTTAGTACGAGGAGCAATCTGTAGATGTAGAGCTGGAAGCTGAGAACTGGCGACTTTGTAGTGCAACTTTAGTACGCGGAGCAATCTGTAGAGCTGGAAGCTGAGAACTGGCGACTTTCTAGTGCAACTTTAGTACGCGGAGCAATCTGTAGAGCTGAAAGCTGAGAACTGGCGACGTTGTAGTACAACTTTAGTACGCGGAGAAACCTGTGGAGCTGGACGCTGAGAACTGGCGACTTTCTAGTACAACTCTAGTACGCGGAGTGACTGGGGATCTGGAGGCTGAGAACTGGCGATTTTGTAGTACAACTGTAGTACGCGGAGCAAGCTGTGCAGCTAGAAGCTGAGAACTGGCCACTTTGTAGTACAACTTTAGTACGCGGACTATGTGGGGAGCTGGAGGCTGAGAACTGGCGACTATGTAGTACAACTTTAGTACGCGGAGGAGTCATCTCTCGCGACTGAGTCATCTCTCGCTGCTGAGTCATCTCTCACCTGAGTCATCTCTCGCTGCTGAGTCATCTCTCGCTGCTGAGTCATCTCTCACTGCTGAGTTATCTCTCGCTGCTGAGTCATCTCTCGCTTCTGAGTCATCTCTCCCTGCTGAGTCATCTCTCACTGCTGAGTTATCTCTCGCTGCTGAGTCATTTCCCGCTGCTGAGTCATCTCTCGCGACTGAGTCATCTGTCGCTGAGTCGTCTCTCGCTGCTGAGTCATCTGTGGTTGCTGAGTCATCTGGCCATTTTGCAGTACAACTTTAGTACGCAGCGCTGTGTTGATCAAAAGTCCGGAGCGCGTGCGTTTGACTGGGGGACGCGCGTGTTTGAGAGAACCGGAACACTCCTATAGGTCAATTTGTTCTTACAGGAAACTTCCGCCGCCGGCTTGCCCGGGAACTGCTTGTAGAGAATAAGGGAATTCCCTAAGAACCTACCTTAGAATCCATTCCTGGATTCCATACTAAAAATACGAAGCACCCGTCTGCTGGTGCTCCTCAATGGCAACAACACCAGACCCGGTGGATCGTTCGGAGAACACCCTTTCGCATGGACCCCAAACAAACCGTTTGATCAGTTGGGAGACGACACACCGACACACCTCGTGTAGAAACAAGCTTTGCTTCACCCGTTGACGGGCGTAGAAACGCAACAAGTGTTCCTGAACCAAAGGTCACTCGGATTCATTGCATTGATACAGTGTAGTGTAGGTAGCTATTCAAAACAACCTGTAGTGTAGTGCTTGGATTTATAATCTATAATCTATACCAAAAGACACCAAAAGTACGTGTTGAAACACCACTGCCCCGAACTGCTGTCAAATGGGTGGGCTCCAGACCCTCGACTTCAACTCTACCGCAACACCTAAACAAATCTGAAGATTGAGCAATCCATACAAGCACCGCGTCCCGAAAAACGCCACAAGTTTTGGAATAGCCAAGAGTTTTTCGGAAACTGCCTTTTTCGATGCCTTCTTTTGGCCAACTGCAACAAATCATCATGTATGTTTGATTACATCTACAGTAATTGACAAGTGGTATAAACACCAACAAACAAACAGCTGGGGACAAAGCCTTTGGCAACCCCTACCTATATACATTCTTGCCGGAATTCCCTTTTCTTGTAGGCAACGACTCTTTGGAGACGACCCCTCATGACCTTTTCATGGGTCCGCTGAAACGTGCTCCAAGGCACTTTGTATCAAAGGATCGTTGAAGAGTTCACCACCTCGATATCCAGCTGGCTGCTACGAAAAAGAGTGCGGTGCGATACCAGTACGTAGCAACTGCATTGATTTTTCGAATGACATCCCCCCCCGCTAATACCAGGCCAGGATGCCCTGACGGCCCCGGTTTGGGTGCTAATTGGTGGTCAAAGGAGTGTCCGTGAACCAGCCCTAGAAAGAGCTTCACGCACCACCCTTCGGGGGCGTCTATAGGTATCCATATAGGTATCCTCCACCTATAGATGTGAATATGTCTTACTAAGAACGATGACCTCCACCCTACTAGAGTTACTAGAGGTGGCCTCCAACCTAATAGCGATGGGGGATGTGTGGATCTGTGCACGAAAGAGGTCTTTGACTCGTTGGATCAGTGGCCCTCGACTCATTGGATTAGTGGCCCCCATCCGTTCTTTGGGCTGAGAGGACGCCCAAGTGCAGTCACTGAGTTTCCTCCTGTCTTTGGCCGCCCATTGACCACGGAAACGCTCCGCAAACATCCATCCCGCCGAAGCCTCTGGCGCCCACCCACTGGAAGTCTACTGACCCCGATCGTTCCGACCGAATCCCAGCGTTCCGACCGTCAAGCAGCACGTTCCGGGACAGCGGATCGGCATCCATTCCTCGCTGGGGATGCACCTGGGGTCGTGATCCAAACACCAAAAAAGAGAGCGCTCTCCCGACCCCACGGACGCATGAGCGGAGAGTCATCCGCAGAGTGGGAGTGTCATCCGGACCGGAATCCTGCACAAGTGGTCCCCAAATAGATAGTGGCACGGTTCCCAATACATTATATTTGGAGTATCTACTTGTCTATTTTTTTTGGGGGGGGGGTTCTATATAATGAACTATGACTATAACTTTAAAATGATGGGTTGTCTTTGGATGCCCTGTGTTTCCAGGTGTTCTCGCGACACCGTCCGACACAGTCCGACACCGATGTTTCTGGGTGTTCACCAGGTAGGCTCGACCCACTGCCTGACTGAGGAAGACTATACTGACTCTGCATGAAACATCTGCTCCTTTTTGTTGTCCTGATGCTATTTCTGTGAATGAAAACGAGCGACCGAGGTGGTTTCAAGAGTGACCCCCCTGGATATTAGGTGGTTTCAAGAGTGACCCCCCCTGGATATTCTTCTCAACCAACCAGGATGCACACCGTGTTTGGACACGTTTTACTCGTGGTGCACGCCGTGTTTGCGGCCAGCCAAGGGTGAACAACACATCGCTACGCTGGCTGTTCCAATGCTGGTCAGCAATCAGCCATGGGCAACTTTTGCGTTAAAACGGTCGGCATTTGGAGCTCAAGATAAGGTTGCCTTTGAAGAAGCCATAAGATCCTTAGGTCTTAAATGTTTAAGTGAACTTTGATTGGTTGTGTTTGGGCCAAGATTTGTCAATACCCTCGTCAACCCCCTGGTGAACACAGGCACGTGGACATTCATCAAATTGCGGGCACACTATGCCAAAGACCACGCTTTGCCTGATCTGAAGTAGTTCAGGTTGAAGGTGCCCAAAGACTTTCTTACCCTAATCTCAGAAGCTTCTGGTGCCTCCTCAACTTGTATCTGAGCAAAAAATAACATATAAGTACCTTGCAAGCCCTAGATTCCCCGACAATCCTTACGCTAATTTTTTATTCAATTTGTATCAATGGTCAAGATTCCTCTTTGGACCAAGCTAAACAGGGTGGCGACCAAAAACATGCCAAACCAAGAATGTTCAGTATTTTCCTATGTCTTGATGCGTGGGGGGTAGTTCAACGGCTCACCTCTCGCCAAGGTACTCCTCACCCCAAAGCCCACATTGACTGCCTCGCGGCAGGGCATCAACACTTGGATCAAAGCAGGCGGAGGGGAGGACCTCCTCCCACTTTCGGACACCTCTCGTTGAAACGCACTCCCTTCTCTTCGTCTCTGCTCCTTTTTCGTTGAGTTGGGGAGGCTCCGAGCGGGTCCGACGCTCCCGCTCGGTGATGGATCATCATGTTCGAGTCTTTGCATCCAGCTTCACTGTCGAGCTCTCGCAGAGTTCAAGCTTCCTTTCATCTCATGTCGGCCAAAAAAATATCAACCCCATCAGATGCAGTTGCACCAGAATAAAGCGATATGTTATGAAGTGTCAGGAGAACCTGAAAACGATCAAAGTGAACCACATGCGAACCACTTGTGTATATAGATCTTAAAAGTATATTATAGTTTCTCGTGAAACAGTCATTTGCAAAGCACTTCTTTTTTTCACAGGGACCTGCTCCACGCTCATACCATCCCATGACTTTTGAGAAAACAACCAACAACGCGCATTGACCTACCAGTCGACTGGGCACATGTTTTTCATACACCCTGCTTCCGGCCAGAGGGTCGTTCTCGGATGGGGAACAGGCGGTGAATTCTGGGCAGCGGCAAAACCGGAACATCCAGCGCCCACCAGGTGAACCATGGTGAACCATGAAAACCCCCCCCTACTAAGCACCGCGGGCTCCGTTCCTTCTTTTCGGGTCCCTTCCTTTCGTGACACCCGACCGTTCCGCACCGTCACCGTGACATCCGCGAGTCCAACCACCGGCGCGGGAGCGCGGGAGCTCCGCCTCCAAGCTGGGTGGAAAATCGAAAGAAGTCGCTATGGCATTCCACGGAGGATGGTCTTCCGAGCTCGCCTCGCTAAGGAAAAGGACGCGGGAGCCGCGTGGAGAGTGAGCTTTTTCCGTTCTCAAAGCGTATACTGGAGCAAGCAAGCGATGTGTGGCGAACAGAACTGCAGTAGAAAGGGATATACGAGAAGCTAATTAGAATGATCAACATTCCCCAACTCTGACTCTTCAGGCAATCATGTTCTTTTGTGAACTCTTCTCCAAGCGACTACTGGCCGCAAACAAGTGGAAGTAGTAGCCTGGCCGGAACTGAGTCAAGTCTAGACAGTGCACGAAACGTTGCTGAAAGGATCCAAAAGGAAAGGTTCCACATACTGTAAGCATCATGTGGGCGACTGTTCCAGCTTCTTGTACATGTTCTATCGTGTTCCACCATTGTTAGTACTTAGATATCCTTAGAACCCCACAGTCCTTCCAAATCCAAACTGCTCGGTTGCTGCACCACGTGGGCGGTTTAATGTCAATGGGTGTGTCCAGCCGCAAAAAGCGCTTGGTTTGTCCCCAGAGAAGCTTCCAGCACCGAGCTTCAGTGACGGCAGAAACCAACAACGAACTGATGAGTTTCGCCAAGGGGCAAGTGATGATCATAGCAGATGCAAAAAACACATATACCTCAGCTGAACCGTGTAGATTCGGATTAAGGTCACGAATGTGCAGGAACTGAGTCATCTGAAGAGACCTTCACGCATCATCAGACCTAAACAGTACCGCCAAAAAGATGAACATAACATGTGTATACATGTGTATATTGTATACAGTATGTCTTCCCCCCATGTATCACCGTGAAAGGCCGCAGGAAAAAGACATCGGATCGGAAAATGATGAGAAGAGATGTGAATCAGCTGAAGAGACCTTCACGCACAGCTGAAGAGACCTATGCGCAAAATCCTCGTGCACATGACCAAACTATACCAAGCTTGTGTTCTTTTCAGCCATCTGAGTCAGACTGGACAATCTGCCTGTGATGAGCTTGACACATCCGACATCCCCCACCGCCAGAACCACCCGCGGCGGGTGCGGAAAAACACATCCGCTGGACACTGCACATCGGAAGGTCCGTCACTGTCGACGGTTGATAGGTTGATAACCCCCATGGTCAAACATTTCTCCATAACGAGGGGGGCTCTACATCAATCAATCAAAAGATATCAAAAGTCAAGATGACTATCCTTTGGGTACAACCAGTAACAGTGGATGATGGTTACTTTCTCTAAAATAGTGATAGTTGTTTACCGACTGTTACAGGTGAGAGGACAAACCCAAACTATCCTGTTCATTAAGACTCTCTTCCTCCATCAGCTGCCTCCGTCATACACACCTATACCGTATGCATCTACAGCACTATCTATATATATATATCGTTTGATAGACTGTAGCAAAACTCCACTTGGTGACGTGGATGACCTGGACTTCCGCAGGAAGAGGACTTTCCGAAAACAGGGGGGCTATTCAGTTCCCTCGGCAACATGGGTCAATCAACCAAACATGACGGAAATTAGGCAATGGCAAAGAACATCTGGAAAACCTGTAGCAGGTGTTCTCATGGGTTCTATCCAACGACCCATTGTGCAATTGGTTGATTTCCAAGTCCTTTCTCCATTTGGACAAAGTGTCGCGGTCGACAGGACAAACCTCCCTTCGACAGCCGACTCTGACCAGCTTCGACTCAAAAGGCTTGACAGGCGGCAACCTGAAGGTACTTCCGCAATTTTTGCTCGTTCGGTGGCTTCTGATCTGCACAAGCCGGCAGCTGTTCCATCTCATGTCACGTTTTTTGCTCGGGGATGACACTTCATCCGACATGATTCAAGTTCACGTTGTTTTGTTCATCTTGGTTCAATATGTCTCAATCCCCCCTTTCTCACACCGCCCAACAGTGACCCACGGTTGAAAGGAGCTTAACAAAGACATGTGTAAATAGGGTTTGTGTTCCCTATAGAAGCTTGGAATGCTGCTTGCAAAATTTGGCAGATGGTTAAAGAACAGTGTTTAGTGTTTAGTGTAGGTGTCAAAAGGCCTCAGGTTGTATTACGTATGGGGCCTTTTGAGAATTGCGTTCGCGAGACCAATACAAAGTGAGGGTTGCAAAACTGCTCCTTTTGGACGCCCAAAAGTCTTCTGGGAAGCCTCGGACTGTTCTGTGTCAGTTTGATTTCTGGCCATTCACCGGCCTGGAACGCTTTCGGTTGGTTCCTCTCTCTCTCAGGTTATGGCAGAACCTTCCAGTCGTTGCCCTGCTCTTCTGTTCCTGGGACACCATCCACTCGGCAGCACGGGATATCGCCTGTCGCAGTGGGTGTCACCACTTTTCCTTCCTCCATCTGCATGTTCACCTGTGGTTCGGGTGCGACCCGAACAGCGATCAATGCCAATCAGAAGTGGCAGGGAAGATCCCAAAAACCAACGTTTATAACTGTAACCAAATGTAACCTGCGACACTAACCTGCAACTTACCAAATGAACAAATGCAACTTCTATCATGTCTACAAGAACCGCAAACCTGTTGGAGAAGGTCGGAGACCTGTTGGAGGGTCCTATGTTTTTTTATTTTTTTTAAGGGTGTGATTCAATCATGATTGGATATGCGTTGTCAAAGATTTAGGACCAAAAAAGCTTTGTCCAAGACCTTTACAATACAAATGAAGACCTGTCTGCCGTGCGTAGATCGATGAAGCCTTGGTGACTGGCTGTACCGGTGGGACCGAGACCGCTCCGTTGAACGCGTGAAAAAGCGTGTGTTTTCGGTGACTTGCAGCAGTTCCTAGTGTCCTAGAGACCCGTGTGTGGTCACTTGAGCAAGTTCAAAGTAGACTGTCAGTGTATACTCCAACATGTTGGGATGATGTTGGATATCGGTTTGGTCTAAAGGATTTATTTGGAAGTCCCATCATATATGGCATGTTTACCTACATTCGGGTGGTTGAAAAGGGGTCAATGACTGAGTCAATGCTGTATATATTCCACTCCCATGGCATGGGAAGGTCTGTGTTGTCAATACCGGCAAAGGGCTCAAACGTTGAAGGGCCTGCGGGAAAGGGGGGATCGATTGGTTGACCTACCCGGAAGGTCAAGCTGCATGGCGGACCAGGGCTCCAGGTTTTGACCCAGCCCCATATTACGCACATGACGTCAGACCTAGACTTTGGATCCCTCCTATGACCAATTATGGACAGGCAGGCATGGAGATCGACATTTACAAGGTCCTTTTCTCTAAACGTTTGGTGATTTCTGCCGAGTTAGCGCGGCACATGTCCGAAGAGTTTGTCTTGCAGTTGCCTTGTGGAGTCTCGTTTCCGTTGAGTGAGTGTTTAGCACTACCTACTACTACTCCTACTCCTACTCCTACTCCTACTCCTACTCCTACCAATATACAACTATACTACATTCTACTATACTACTATACTAACATACTAGTACTAGTACTAGTACTACTACTACTGCTACTACTACTACTCCTGCTACTACTGCTACTACTTTTTGACTACTATACTACTATACTACATACTACTATACTACTATAAAGTAAGTTTCATTGGATTTAGGTTCCAATTCTTTGCTTTTGGGTTCCAGAGTGGGCCTGAGGATGGTTGAGGATGGTCATGTTGGATCAAGGGGTGAGGCCCGGTGAGGCCCAAGGTCGCTGCCTTTTTTCGCACTTCCAGCTGTCCATCCATCCATTGGTGCCGGGCACTCAGCAAAATTTTCTCGGGCCATCACTGCCCAACAAAGATCTAAATCAGTCGCAACGCTTCATTCTCTTGCATCGTGACTTCGCTCTTCAAGAAGTACAGAGGTTTCCCTTGGCCAAAGGGGCAATGAAGGTTGAGTTTGCAAAACTCATGTTCACATAGTGTTCACTCTAAATTTCAGCTTTAAAGCTGTAAACTGTAAACTGCACATTTTGCAATCCATGCTTCGGGGCATGATTTCCTCGGGTTTGCCAACAGTGACTGTTGGCTAAAAGCTGTGCAAACGGATGCGCAAACAGCTGCTAATTGCACAAGCACAATATGTGTTCAAGAGTCTTTGGATTCTTTTATGAATGCCACTCTCCATGCGCGCGATAGCAGTCGCGAGTTCTCCAGGGCCTGATGCTTTAACAAGAACATATAAGAACTGCCAAGTTTAAGAAACAATCCTGGCACAGCAAAATCACCTACTAATCGGAATCGAGCTGCAGAGCATCCAAACGCTGAAGCCAAGCTTGAAAACTTCATTCCATTGAGGGCCGTGGGCTGAGACCATTGAAAGTAATGGGCAGATGGCTTGGGCTTGATGACATAGTACTCACCTAACAGCGAAACATACAACATCGTGGCCAAACAGCCGGACCTCGCGACTCTGATTAATTTATGTTGCATTAGTTACATCAAAGACCCTGACCTTCTGCAGCACTAGATGGCTTCTCTATGGTGTGCCCATTTATCGTAAAGTCGACGATCCCCTCGTCTTCAAACTCGTGCAGCAAAGAGCGCCAGGGTGATTTCTCGGTGTCGGTCATTGACTTACCACCCTCGTCTTGAACTTCCAGGACCACGATCTGCTGGTCACTGGTCCACGTGCAAGACATCATGCGTTCAACATCTCCTCGTCAGGAATCAGTAGAGTTCCTACGACCGAACATGTACACAAGCATGGTGCTCATCATCGGCCCAGAACTAGAAGTTGCTAGCAAGAGGATTTGCTCACTGCCAGGTAACGCTTCCCCGAACGGAACGAGAAAAAACTGTTTTCACTGCTGGCTGACATCACAAGTCATGTGATCTATGTGATCTATGGATCGGCCCCACACAGTGCTTCCTGCCTGCAGCAACTACAGGTCTAAGGAAACATCACAGTCCCACTCCCACTGTTCACAGTGGGCACGATTCCTGTGATTTGTGAAAGACAGGGTCCAATTATACCCCATGGCTCGCGCACATACAAAGTTTCACTGCTCACTAAAAGACAATAATGAGATATCCAATGTTGGTGGCTATTGGGCTTTGGAGGATAGGCGTTGAACAGCAACCATGGCGTGAGCCTCAACAAAATATTACCCTACAAACCACTCGCTTTCCCTATAGCCCTACAGCACCATCCTTGTGGCACTGACTCTCACTCAATCGACCTCTTCCGCATCACGAGTCTCAGCCTCAGCGGCATCAGCCCCATTTGGGTCAGCAGCTGCAGACGCAGCAGCGTCACTCGGGGCAGGCTCTTCAGGAAGACTGTGCCTGACCTTCAGCCGGCGCCTGCTGAGCTCACTGTTAGACATGCCTTTGATTGAAGACACTCGTTCAGGATGGCTGCGCCACCTCAAAAGAATTTGGGATGTAGCGCGAAAAAAGAAATGCACCAAACACAGCTACACTTGATTCGGACCAACGATGCTTTGTGTTTGCATGACTAAGAAGGATTGAGTTTGGTACTCCGCCCGGGCCATGTTGAGAATCTCCTTGGGCGTTTTGTTCGGGTGCTCCTGCTTCAACTCTTCCTTGCGCGCCGCCAGGTGCTTGTAGTAGGTGTCTCTCAGACCAGGCCGTCCACAAACACCACCCTGGCCAATACAGGCTGCAGCAAGGCTAAGTCTTTTGAGTAGCCAGCTTTAATCCGAATCCAAAAGAAGTGAACATGTCACAAGTCTTACTTGATATCTCGTAGGCTAGCTGGACAGTAGTGCAAGAAGGTCCAACACTATTTGCTCTGAGGTTTCCATTGCGATGGCCTTCCTTGCCTTTGGTTGCGGCTCCTGAGGCATGATCAACGTTGGGGCAGGGGCACATGCAGTTTTCGCAACACTGTGAGGTGGAAAGTGTACCGGATGTGTGCATCATTATGGTGGGACTTATGGTGGGATGTCCAAAGCCAATCGATGATAAGAGAAGTGCGAAATAGAATAACATCAAACTATGAAACACTGATATTCCAGGTTCATGATCGCACATCGGTTCAATCCGAATGAGCTATCGTTTTTTCTGTCCTGTCCAAGTATGAGTGTTTCAGCATCAGACTCCTCCTCAGACTTGTGTTCTTCCTCCTTCTTACTCTCCTTTCGCTCATTCTCTTCCGGGCACGGGACTGACTCAGTGGTGTTCTTCCTCTTTCTCACATTCTTTCCATGTTCTGGCCCTCCCCTTCCAAGCGCCTTGGCCACCCTAGAGATCTTTTTTGGCTGGGCAGTCTCCTCCTCCTTTGCCACACTTTCCTTGTCCGCAGTCCTCTTCTTCAAGGCTGCCTTGGTCTTCTTCTTTTCTGTGTTCTTTTCTGTCTTCTCTTCTCCTGGTCCAGATGAGCCAGCTGACTTGGCTGACTTGGCTGATTTGGCCGCCCTAAGAAGCTTCCTCTTGTTTTGCTTCTTCGCGCCCTTCTTCTTTCCCTTCCCACGACGTGCCTTTGACTTCACAGCTTTCTGTGGTGCATTGATCTCTTCATCTGAATCCAAAGCATCAGGCAAATCTTCTGAGTCGGGTTCCTCCGGGTCAAGAGGGTTTGGTGACTCATCCATTTTTCGTGTACGCTTTGCCTTGGCTTTCGCCTTTGCTTTCTCCTTTCCTTTCGCATCACCACCAGGGTTCTCGTCGCTGTTCTCATCGTTTTTTCTTCTTTGTCTCCCTTTCCTCATTGACAAAGGCCTTCGTAACCATTCTTTTCACCTTGCCATCCTCCTCCACCTGCTCCTCCTTGACTGACTTCTTGTCGGCTTTTGATCTGGCTTGTTTCAATTCTTCGTTCAACTCCTGAACCCTCTCCGGGGGCAGAGTAGGGTTGTTCTCGATGGTGGACTCTCCAGTAGTCATAGGCAAAGAAGCTGGTTTATCTTTACCACCAAGATCCAACACTTTGGCAACTGCCATTGCAGCCTCCTGGCAAGAGGTGCTAGGCTTAGTAAGGTGTTGTTCAAGCTTTCTAAGCAAGAGGCCTCTTTGACTCCAAAGACTTGTTTTTCACCCCAAGAACCACAACTGTATGATGTCCAGCTGGCCTTCACTTGCGGCGCAGACGTTGGAGTTCCTGATTGCCCAGACCCTGCTGGAGAGGTCAACGCCTCAAAAGTTTCGGCCGGTGGAATTGGCAGAAACCGTGAGAGGGGGTTAAGAGCTAAGTTGGGGGCCTCCTTGCACGGCGGGGTTTGAATGGCACCCTTGTCCTTCTCGCTCATAGCAGCAAAGTCCTAGAGTCTTAGAGAAAGTTGCAGCTGCACTGTTTGACAGGAACTTTGGCATTCTTGCAGCCTCAGAATTGACTTTTGTTTATTTGACATAATCAGTGTCAGTCCTGCTCAAAGCCGTGCATGGCCAGAAGGTCCGAAATGTTCGACGGCATGTCCGGGCGGATCAAGACAGTGAGACAAAGTCGAGTCTAGCCCTGGCTTGGGAAGCTTGATCCTAGGTTTGATGCTAGATGACAGACAAGTCTGGCTTATTATGCTATAGGCAAGCCAATGTTCTTTTTGGTGCTGGGTTGGACACTCAATGTTACTGTCCCAAGAAGAGTCGGGCCTGGCCTGAATCTTTCCGCTTCAACTCAGAAAATTTCTCTGGGCGTACCCACTTGCCAGCTCCATGCGCCATGATGAACTCGTTTGCCGGGATTGTAACCTCCATGTGTGCAACCTGAAGCACTTTGACATCAACATCGACTAACAGAGTCACAGTATTGAGTCAATACGTAGTAGATGGTTCAGGTCCAATGAACAATTGACTAAATTTGTTCTATCATCATTGGGTCAAGAAGCCACAAACAGTTTCAGGGTTTGATGCTCGGAGACCTGCTCGGCAACACCTGAAGTCCTCCTTTTTGCACCCAGAAAAAAGTTGTCCCTGGCACACGTCCAGATATTTTGGCCTCCACAAAATACTCATTGAGAATCTCATCGACTGTTTGCGGTTCGCCTGCCCATGGGACCATCTTGGCCTCTGGTTCAGGTTCTGGCGGTGGCGGCAATGGGATTGCTGATGCTGAGGCATTGCCAAACCTGAAAATGGGTCGGGTTTGTTCAGATCAGGTCAAGGTGTTTACCCTACTAGGCCATTCCAGGGTCAATGAACACTAAAAGCTGCTAGTTAGTAGTTGGAGGGCCGACGGTCAAAGTCTTGTAGAAGTGACCGCCACTCTTCCCCATAGACTACATCATTGGCATAGAGCTGCCTGACCGACTGAGGAAGAACCACTTTGTAGCGTCCAAATCCGCTTTCATTCGGCGACTGAACAGTGCACTGAATCATCTTGAACTCATAGTTGGAGAGATCTACTGCTGTGTCAGCGTTTCGGGGAGGTTTTGGGTCATACTCTCGAACTGGGCCCATCAGGCGCTTGTTCAGCTTCCAATCCTGCATGAGCTTGCCAGGAAAATAAAAGGAAAGTGGTGGCAAAGAGAAGGAAAGTGGTGGCAAAGAGAAGGAGGCTTGGATGGGGCTCGACAGGGTTGGCCTGGCCTCTCTCACAAAAACCATGGGATCCCAAGCGTTGCAAACTACAGTATTGCACCTGCCCCTTGTTCTTTTTTCACGGGCCTCCAAAAGCTTCATGGCCATGACTTTCTCACAGTAGTCCACGATATGAGAGTACTTGGTTTCAGCAACACTGAAGCTGGTCATGCGCTGCGTTTTGTGCACACTTGACCATTCCAGAGCTGTGGTTTCCGCATGTCCATCATACGGTGACAAATTCAGCAATGCCAAGCTTTTGCTGGAGAGTTTGCATCGGTCAAGCAATCCTGTGAAGATCGCAGTTGGGAACTCCTTGCCAGCAAGTAGTTGTGCACTCTCTTGTACATCAGACAGAGACCTAGCACGCCCACAAAAACCAGCAACCACCCACCACCCAGATCATCACTTGCTTAAAATGTCTTAAAATGTTGGGTCACATGTCACATGTCGTTCCACAGAAAAATAAAATACTGACCTTAATTTGGCAAGATGCCGTGTTTCCGCGGAGCGAGGGAGCGCATCCTTTTCCGCCATCGGAATGACATACAAACTCTCCGGCTGCCAGCCCAATAGTGAGCGTGGGGACCTGAACTCAACTCTTAGTTCCACACGCAGAAGTCCAGTCAACCCACCCAAACATTTTAAACGATGGTATTTTAAACGATGGTATTTCAACATTTTGACACCTAGACCTAGCCTGTCCAACATAAGCTGACATTCAGAGAACTTGTTCTCGGCCATGGAGGCCTCGTCGAAAATGAGCCAAGATTGAAATACCATTGGTACTTGCTTTTGCGGAGGAGGAGGTTGCATCCGCACGCTAACCATGCTTGAAAAAAGGCCACGGGCATCACACTTGTCCTCCAGCCTCCTCAACATGGTAAGAAGCAGGTTTCTGTAAATTACAGGTTAACTTAGGGCTTAGGACGACATATAGAATAAACATATTTCTCGGCTTCAACAAAGGGGCCGTCGCTCACCTCTTGCAGCATTAACAACACGGTCCGATGCTAAATATGGTGCCACAATGTAGCCAATGCTGGAAGTTGGCTTCTTGCTCAAAACAGATGACATGGTCTCGACCACAAAGTTTAGGTCGTGGTTAGATACCCGGCCGAACTTTGTCAGGTCTGCCCACACCAGTACTCCGCCTCCATCTGCTGTCGCATCATCCACGAACTGATTGGGGTCCATGGCCGGTCAAGATCAAAAAATTAGAATGATAAGACACCCCCTAAACCGGAAAACCACCACCGGAAAAATAAAGCAGCAGCTAAACTCTGCCTTGTCCAGACGGGAGGTGATCTCATGCGCAGTGCCAGAAAAGAAAGCCGCATTGGTGGTCATAAAATTGTTCACGATCGAGGCCCCTATCAAGTTTTGCGACCTGACATGGAGGATCCGCTGCTGCCGCTCTGAACGCTGCGACTTTGTTTCATCCTGCATCAGCTGCCCCAGAAGCGCCAGATCGCGAGCAAGGACCAAGTTGTCCCGCTGCCACGCTGCCTCTCGCGCTGACTGGTTCAAAGTCGTCAGTGCTGCATCAGCCTTTGAAAAAGCTGCATCTGACTTGGCAGGTGCAGCATTCTCCTGCCAAAACGATACAAGCTGTGGTTGGAACGCGGTGTCCTTGATCGATAGCGCTTCATCCGCTTCGCTGTGGAAGTCCCTGGCAAAACAAACCGCAAAAGTTTGCATTATGTTTTGACCTCTAGAGAAGGAGGAGAGAGCTAGTAGGTGAACTCAAGAAGCCATTGTGCATCATGACAAAGTACGGTCGTAGTAGGTGGGTCATGTGTTTAATTTTTGTATCTTAAAACGATTGCCTAAACAAGGTTTGTGATCCAGGCCGTAGTTGAAGGGCCTGGATCACACCAGCTTTTGGTGGCAACATATCTGCAACATTTGGGCCAAGCAAAGTGGAATCTGTTAATTTCTACTAAAACCACACACACGTCCCACTGCCCTGCCAGTGGCCAAACTAGTCGCCGGGTGGAGATCGGTTGAAGCACAAAGTATTCTGAAGGGTAACCTGGGACGATCAACCCGATCCTCAGCAGGAATGGGATGTCTTATGAAGGACTTGTTAGAATCATGCTGACAGAGGTTCAAAGAACACCAAATGGTAAGGGGTATATCTCTCCGAGATTGGCGCGGCACAGACATGTCATTAAACAGAATTACCTCTTATTGTTAGACCCCTGGCCCTGCCCTGCCAAGGGATTGCTGTCAGATTTGAGGGATGCAGGAAACTACCCACCTTTGGGAAATCTTTTGGACCAACCACTTCCTTTTGGAGCTGATTTTAGGATTCACCACAGCTGGCACAATCAGAAAAAATCACAAACTCTTTCCGGCTGCAGAAGCGTGCCAGTGGGACCCTTCGATACAGCGGTTGAGCAACCTCTCAAGAGTGTCCTTTTGAAACAATGGACTGCCATCGTCCGCAGTTGCTTCCCACATTGCGGAAAAGACATGGCCAAAGAAGGTCATTCTGTCAGCTTCATGGCACCAGTCCTGCAAGGAAAGCCTTGCATTAGCTCCCTTGGCTCCGCGCCTAGAAGCCAAGGAGTGCAAGAACAAAACCCGTCGCATGAATAGGCATTGTTTGGCCATGTCCATTCGGAGAATGCTGTTCCAAAGCATGCTGCTGACACGTGGGACGCCATCCAGCAGCCATCTCCCGTCTAGGAGGGTATCTTTGCCATAGGCTGCAGGGGCGAGACACACATGTTAATCTTGTTACACTTAGTAGGCGATACTGGTTCTAATCACTATTCACCAAAAGTCCCGAGGCTTATTGAACAAGCAGTATTCCTATCGCTACCTTCTGGAAGTTTCCCACCACTCTTGCGATAGCAAGGTTTTTGAACTCACTAGCCTGAGTGCTCCCAGCGAACAGTGTGTAGATGTTTCTCCACCATCGACCAGACGTCCTCGCAAACTCCGACCTCAGGCGCTGATCAGAAGAAAGTTCCAAGGCGAGGATCACAGCAGAGAGGGTTCTGGATCCAGGTGATTTTACTTAACAATTATTTATAAAATCATAATATACTTTAATTTAAAGGTTTGGCCAAGAGACTTTGAACCCCCAAAGTTGAAGGCCAGTAGTAGCATCTATTCTGTATTTGCTGTTCGTCGCTGCTGTGCCATAGTTGTTGTACTCCTCAATCCCCCTGAGGAAGGCATTCTTGAAACCTTCTTTTGATTCTCCATACAAATGAGGCTCCTCAAGCAGGGTTTGTGGTGGATAGTTCATGTGCCCGGTACCCAGAAACAATAGGGCGGAGAAAAGGGAAGAGAACTTTCAATTAGCCTTCAAATGCGGTTTAGGACCAGGGTTTTTGAACCAAATTTTTGACACCCCGTTCTTCCAACGACAGTTGTAGAGCACGAGCGTTGAAGATCAGAGCCTTTTGGACCAGATTCTTTTTCTGTCTCTCTGCCTGGGCCTCATGTGTTTGTAGCCGTCTCCATTCATAGTTCACAGAAGAGCTTTCCTCTATGACCACACACTGAATCTCCTTGATCGATTTCAGCCACCTGGCAAGGTGGCTGCCTTCAACAACCAAAACTGACGAGGCATCATGCGAGTCATGGGGGGGCATATGGGAGCGTTCACATGTCAATTCTTCAATGCTGGAATCCCAGCGTTCCCATGATTTGGTCCTGGGGCGCATCCACAATATCGCAGGAGACGACGGTTGGTCGTGGGGCGACCCCCACAATATCCCAGGAGGCGACGGTTTGGTCGCCCACAATATCCACAGAGACGACGGTTTGGTTTGGGGGGCAGCCCCCACAATATCTTGAAGACGATGGTTTCATTGAAACCAGCACCGTGAAAAACAGGGTAGAGACATTCTGGGTCATGTTTTTTCTTGGATTTGGTCACTTTTCAGGGACACGACGGTTTCGATGAAACCATCACCTCCTGGATATTGTGCGACCCTTCTCCCCCCAGCATTCAATGATTATCAATCCTTAAAACAATAAATTTCTTGTAGCTGGCAATGTTATGGGATTTAGCTGGTAGTAATTTGCAGACTGCCGACCCTAGTGCACAATATCCGGAAGACGACGGTTTCAACCAAACCCTCACCTTTCCAGGGCTTGTGTTTTTCAATCATTTTCCACGACCCGCATTGTCTTCCAGACATTATTTTTGAACCCCTGGGAGTCTGGGAGGGGCTGTTTCTGCTTTAAGTCTACCACCCAAACCTGCATCCCCGGCCTTGTGAAATCATTGGTTTGTTCGTCTGACAAGGAGTGCTGGTAGGCCAGGTATGTTCGCAAGACTCCAAAAAGGAGCACGGAAAGGCGGCCCAGACCTTTGGTTGCTTGCGTGCAACCGAAGTCAAGGTCAGACCCGGTCACCTTGTCAGTCTTCACTTCAATCACTCCCCGCCATGATTCAAATCCGGTATGAAACACATCTGAGGCCACCGTGCACCACGGTTGGTAGAGTGGAAGCCCGTCCGATGGTTTGGACATGAAGATGGCCAAAAGTGGCGTCGCGGTCACCACCCCACATTCCTCAGCTTCAAAGATGCCAGGAGACACCCAGCCAATAGATCGTGGTTTAGGTCCCTTCTCGCAGGGGTGCACCTGAACACAGTAAACCTCCATGCAACCTTGGGCATTTGGGTTGACAAGAGTCTGGCACTTTGAAGTCTGACGGTTCTGGAAACTT